CTCTTCTCTTCTCTTCTCTTCTCTTCTCTTCTCTTCTCTTCTCTTCTCTTCTCTTCTCTTCTCTTCTCTTCTCTTCTCTTCTCTTCTCTTCTCTTATTTTTTTACAGTAGCTTTAAGCTGTGATATTGCTTGCAGGGAATGAAAAAGAAAAGGTTCAGTCAACAGGTAACGATCCTCATGTATAGCTTTTGTTATGACTACATGGGGCTTTGGGCTTTTTAACACCAAAATGCTGATGCCTTTGGAGAAATTTGATCTCTTTGAAATATGAGGGCCTGATACATATCTTATTCATAATGAGGCAAATTAATAATGACTGAAAGAAAGTCAGGAATTGCTGTACCATTTCAGGCCAAGAATCCAGCTCTTGCAATGCTGCGTATGACCTTGGCCAGTAGCAGTTACATTAGAGGAAGTGACAAGAAAGTCTGCAAGACGCTTTCACAACACAACTGCCTAGGTAGAATACTCCTTAAGCTCCACTTTAGAGGCTGGTTAATAAAATATGGAAATATGAGTATCTGTGTCCGTCTCTGAAGGCTCAGATGTGTTACTTTTTAGTYGCTGTCATTCTAACCTCGTTTTCTTACATACAGATTCTTCAATTTCAGTGAAATAAAGGTATTAGGTCAGCAGAGTGGCCATAAAGTCCAATATTCATCTCATGAACCTGACAGAAACTGTGTATGACCTGACATACGAGATCTGAATGAAAAAGCAAACAAAAGACTTCCAGGAAAGCAAGCATGCCCTTATTCACTAGCTAGGTTAGGCAAGCTTTGTTTTACATGTGGACAGGGACACACTTGTGTACATAGCAAGATTGATCATATAGCGAACATCTGGAATTCATGCAAATCCCTCTTCAATCAAATACTGAAAGCCCCTTTTTATAGCATTTCACCAGCTGGGTTAAAACACAACTGACATCATATCTGCACTCCGGCTGCCCTTGTACCCAAAGGTTTCTTCTTCCCCAGACAGAATCACTGTCTTTCTCTGCTGAGGCAATCTGGGGGAGCAAAAAGAGGGAGGAACCTTCTCATGCACAAAGGAAAACTGAGCTGGTCATAAAAGGTGTTCCCCTGAGAGCAGATGGGAAAAGTCATCATCAGGGTTTGCTTTTACAGAGCACACTTGAGTTTCAAGAGAAATGGAGTTAAGCTGCCTCTAAGTCTATGACTAGTTTTAATGATTCCTGACAGTGAAATAGAGCACCTAAGCTGAACCTGTCCCCCTTACTGGGCATCATAGCCAGCATRCCACATGCAAAATATTCCCATCAGAGAAAACTAAGCAGACATGCTACGAGGAGCAGGCTATGGTCAGATGAAACTCACCGAGCAGGACCATGTAAAGGTGAAGTAAGCACAGATCCATTGCAAGAACAGGACATCTCATCATGCTGTTGCTTTTCTACCTCTACTTCTCACTGCTGCCCTGTGCAATGAGCACAAAGAATATTCTGTTAGAAAACAATGAACATTCTGTTAGATGGCAAATAAGTATCTATTGTTTTTAAGCTTTTTTTTTCACAGCAAATAGAAATATGGGACTTAGAAGAAAAGACAGAAATTAGAAGCTGGTGAATGTAGAAAACTGTTAAGAGAAGGAAAAGGGTGTATGTATAGTCTGCAGAACTAAGATTAACAAAAACCAAAAGCAAAATAAATACAATGGCACTGGTCCTTCACTAGATAGAAATGACAGAAAATATTTATCTTTCCTTTCTATATTTGGAAAGAAAACATATCATTTAGCAATCTTTCCCAGTGAGAAGGAAATGTCCTGACAATAGTTAAAAAAAAMCCATGAAATTAAATTAAATTCTGTTGAATAACGAATCTAGATAACTTGCATGTAAAAGTCTTAAAAGAATTGGTGGAGRAGCTTGTTACCTTGATGATTGATAAGACCCAGAAGGCTGAAGGAAAACTAATGTTGGTGTAATATTTAGAATAGAGGAGGTGATACGAGTCTGGCATTCCTCCCAAGCAAAATAATGACTTTCTAGTATTGGTTTCAATTAAGTCAGAAGGAAAGGAGRCTACAATAACAAGGCTGAGTTAGTGGGAAATGAGTCTTGTCAAAGTGAGTACAAGCTTATGACTCTGTAAACTCGGTTGATAAAGGTCACAGGGCATGACGTAATGTACCATGTCCAGATATTCAAAGGAGCGAAGATTGGCTGTAGATCCCCTGTAACACAGCCTAATGTGTTAAAACACAGTAGTTGCTCCCCACACAAACTCCTAAGGTGGATACCTTAGGATGTCTAGAGATTCACATTACTTGGTTAGTGAAAAGAATGCATTAAAATCCACTAGGTACACCTAAGAATTAATAAAAATATGGCTTTCTAAGAATATGATTAGATATGGATAAGAAATCAACAGAAAGCACATGAATTTTTGGTGAGAAGCTGCTGAGAGCTATTCCTGTTAAGCTCTTGAACATTGCTGAAGACTTGAAAGAAAAATTAAAATAGTGATTGATAACATTTGTAGGCAAGGTGTAGGCTGTGAACATGATGAACAATTGTTGGGGCCCGCCGCACCCTCGCATAAAACAATGAAAAAGAAAAATTAGTGATAGAGAGTGATCTGGATGACTTGATAAGTGTTTTACGGAAAAAAAATATGTATTTTGACACCGCTAGCAAGGAAAAKAGACATTTAAGAACAAAATATGTAGGTTATACTTAAACAGTGGGAAGTAAAGGCTTTAAAAATGACTCCATGATCATGACAACTGTCTATCTAAAGGTGATAGGAAAGTCTAAGGACAAAGAGTAGAGCAGTTCTGGTCTGGCTAATAGCATAATTGGAGATTACTAGAGAAATATCTTTGTGAATCCTGTGGATACTTGATAAATTCAGATTGGAGCTAAGGGCCAGGATGAGATTCAATTATTCACKGAACAACTTGCAAAGGTTGTTCTTAACTCTTGGTCACTGAAAAAATGTAATCATTTTTTTCTAAAAGGGCAGGTCAAACAAGAACTCTCTTGGCCAGCATTCTACTCAGGGCTAGACTACAAGATATCTTTTGATTTATATTCTATGAAGTTTGCTTAGAAGGCTATTAGATGCTTTTTTCTCCCTTCAGATATTAAATAAGACCATTTCTTGAATCCTCCTCCTTTTACAACTGTGAACTCCAGTTCTAAAATTCAATAAAATTGCTACAACTATCATATAATATTAAGGGTACTATTCAAAACTCTCTGGAATTAAGAAGAGATCTCCCATCAGCTTCCCTGGACCATAGAACAGCCTTTAAATAGGGATTCCAGATACATTGCTTTCACCAAAYATTCTGTAAAATTTTCACATGGCAATGTGAAGCCCCTGGCAAATGCTCCACTGTGATACTGAGAAGCAGCTACTGCTTTTACAGGTCATGATGAAATCAAAATCCTCAGCTGCATTACAGGCCAGTACCTACTTCAATATTTTCTTGTGATCTTGCATTTATGATTTTGTACCATTTTCCTACACCACTGAAGTGTAAATTTCATGAATAAATTCTATTATCTTTGAAACTTCCTTGATTAGAAAAGGAGCACATATATGGTTTCAAAATAGTTAAATTCATTATTGTCATACATCATAGAAAAGAGTTGCATGAGCAATCCATACTGAGTAACTTAGCAGATTTATAGTTCTAAGATGACTTTTAAAAGTAACTTGCAAGTTATTTGCCACTTCCAGTGCAATCTTTTTTGTGGACAAATTTGCACAGAGAGTTGTTATGGAAACCATTTCCACAGAGTCTCTGTGCAAGCATTTAATATTGGCACTGTGGGACTGATCACATAATTGTTGGTTGTCTCCATTCTCCATTAGATTGTTCTCCAGAAACAGCCCTCCCCTTGCACACATGGGCAGTTTTAGTACTTTTGGCTGTCTGTGTGGTGAACAAAAATTTAGGAACCTAGCTATATAAGAAATTTGGTTTGCTCAGTCTATCCTTGGATCTTTCAGGCATGGTGTCAATAAATCTGCTTCAGAAATGGATCTTGTTGAATACTGCTTCAGGTTGAAGTTGCCCTTATACATCCTATTACAAGGCTGTTCTCAAATCTGCTTTTCTTGAATAATAAGAAATTCCAAGATGTGGTTTAAACATGCCCATTAAGACTTCTTASTTTCATTTTATGGTTACATTTTTGTGCAAACACTGCCCTTCACCTGAAATCACTCCCTTTCTTTCCTGGTGTTTAATCCCCCAATACTTTCACAGTGAACAAGCCTACCTACTTCTCAGTCTTTGTTTTGGTAGGCCATACAGAACAGAGTTCTTTGGTTTTCTCTACTACAGATTTCTCTAAATCAGCTTAGCAGTTCCTCTCCTTGCCTAGTTCAAATTCAATTTCTCTCTCAACCAAAAATCTTGATTTTGTTCCAGCTGAAATTTTACCATTGCTCTGTGAAGTCACAACATTTCCTAGTCTTTAAATATCCTGCCTGAGAAAAGTGTACTGAGATAGATGCARTGAATTTATTTTTTCACAGTTGCATTACACTGATGGCCTACATGTTTATGAATGACTGACATGTCTAAGAGAGATAAAAAAGGTATGTGTCTATGTTATAACTGATCTGATGGCAGAGCTGACTTGAGAGATTCATACCATCTCTCATTTCCAGACATTCATTTTTCTACAGTTTTGTTCAGTAAGGCTAATATAGACTTCTTACTTCATTCTTTTTGCTTCTATTTCAGAGCAAATATTTGTGCACCAAACAGCTGCCTATTTTTCCTTGATTATTCTTCTTCATATGAATTCTTCCTTCTATTACCTCTTAAGAAAAACCTTAACTATTGATGCATCCAGATCTATCTCCCACTTCTGCACTTTCTAGGTAAGTAGCTCCCAACTCACAGTAGAAATTCTTCTAATTTGTCTTTCAGTACAGGGATTTGTATTTTGACACTTCATCATATTACATGATGAATTTCAATATGTGCTAAAGGCCATACAAATCTCCTAGATGGTATTATGAGCCATTGAGCATCCACAAATATCAGAGGAAGATCAAAWTAATATTTTTGCCTGAATATCCTCTTTCTATACAGTTTCTGCTTTTTTTTTTTTCTTCTTCTGTTTTTGGCTGTTTTAGGTGGTTGTGCCTGGAGTTAGATCTAGTGCATCCTCTTTGCACTTAGAGCCTGCCTAAAGTTACAAGTCACCTAACATGACCAGCGCAGCAACTGCAGTGAAAATGAACTTCTATCTATACTAGCAAACTGCTGAATTATACGCATGAAATCTGGGGAAAATAACACCTTCTTGGAAGAGTTTTAAATGAAAACAGCAGAAATGCCCTTTCCCTACAGCTTTGAATGTGCTCTTAAGCTTGCTTGGTCCTGACTTCCTTAAGCTTGCTTGGTCCTGACTTCCTTTCCCTTTAGGCATACACTTAGCCATGGAGCCAAGAATTTCCTACTAACCTCTTGAATTGACTCTTGGCATTCACAGCTATTTGTTAACCTATTTCTGCTTTAATGCTTCCATCTTTAATATATTTTGCTGATGATAGAATGACACACCCGTACAGCAATACTTAACAACATATCCTACTTAGTAAACATGCCTGGAGATAGAGTGAGCATAGAGATATTCAAGCACACTGATATATACACAAGTGGATAAACTTTTGCCTACATGATTATCAAAGCTCTTTGCATGTTTTATCAGGAAAGAATCTGTCTCAGCAGCTGACATAGACTGTCAAGAACAGGCTGTATTTGCATGTTATAGTTTAATAATGATCACAGTTGGGCTGAAGCGCTATCAATGTTCGGGGCAAACATCAAGTAGCTCATAAAGCAGACAGTTCAGGAAGGACAGTACACTGCAAGTCACAAATTATTGCTTTGCCCATTTTTTCATTTTTTTTTAACAGATTAGTGAATAGCATTTTTTGCTGTCATTTCACACAAGTGATCAGACTCAAGAAGCCTTCTCCTAGTGTATTAAAGCCTGATTACGTTCCAGGAGAAGTGTGTAGAAGAAAGCAAGGGTTTGTAGCACAAACCCTAATGGCAGAGAGTATTTACCCCTGGCTTTGACTATGCAAAGGCTGGAAGCCCTGTGTGATGTGTTTCCTGCCAAGACAGATGCCTTGGGGACACTGTCTCTGAGTCAGCTCTGCCTAGGGCTCTGAAAAACCCAATGTTCTGTACCCACACATGATCTAGGGGGCCAGAGCTTCCCAGTGGTAGTGCTTGACTGGTCAAGGACTTGACTCCCAAGGTGGGAGTTTGTATTTGAGTGTTCAGCATGTGAACGGTAGCAAAGTCTCATGATGTAGCAGCCATCTGCAGGCAGTGTGGATTCATGTGTTCATGACTTCTTTTTTTTTTAAGTGTTGCAG